AACATAGATTGACAGAGATTGGGAGATACATCTTCATCATACTTACAGAGAAGGAAATATGTGTGCAGATTGGATGGCTAATTTTCTGCTAGACCATACAGATCAAGCTGACCAACTGTATTTTGAGGCAAGCAAGGAAAGACCATTTGAACTAAAATTGATAGCGGTAAGACTTCTTTGCAACCCACGTAAGTTATGTCATTAATAGCGGTAAGACCACATCTTCATCTCTTGTATTTTGAGGATCAAGAACTCAATGTGTGTTAGCTTACTTTATGCTCCAAATGATTTTTTAAAATTATTTTATTCTAAAAAAATAAAAAAATAAATATATACCATTATCAAATTGGCAATTGGATAATAAGTGAAGAATACAATTTCTAAAATTATACAAAGTTATAATACTTTGATGAAAATATAAGAAAGTGTCACAATAGCGCATAAAAAAAATCTATTTAAAAATAAATAAATTTAATACTTGCTCAGGGCTTACCCAGCTCGCTTATAAACCGAGCATACTTTGCATTTTCTATTTCAACTTTGGCCAAAACCATGCTAGAACTAATAAAAATTTCAAACAAATTTATAATTACTAGTATAAGGAAGTTTTGCATTTTTTTTTAACTCATTATTAATAATAAGGACAAAAATAGACGGACTCAAATGTTATAAAGAACTATTTCAACCCAAAATCTTAGGAGTTGTGTGACGACCTTTGTAATGGTTATATTATTCTTTAACAAACGCGGTAAATTTATTATTCAGAAATAAAATTGATATGCCGTTATAAACTTTTACACAGATATTAGGTGTGAGCCTTTTTAATGGTTATTAATGGTTATATTATTCTTTAACACATCCCCTCACGCGAGAGCCTTTTTAATGGTTATATTATTCTCTAACACACCCCCTCACATAAGAGCCCTTTGAGCTTAGAGTGTGGATTATTGTATACGCCCAATTTTTGATTTACTTTATGCTTTATTTAATTCCACAAGTGAGAGGTGGTGAGGATTGAACCCGTGGCCTTGTGGAGTTATGGTCACTGAAGTTTTGATGTAAAGAACCATTTTGACCCAAAACCTTAAGGGCCTGTTTGGAGCACCTGATAAGGAAGATAGGATAGGATAACTTATCATATCTTACTTTTATCTCTTGTTTGGTGGGTCAATAGGATATGATTAGCTTATCCTATTGTCTCATTTTATCCTATCCAATACATGATTTCTTATCCTACGGGGGGAGCTGGGTTAGGATTCAACAGGATAGGATAATAATATTTAATACCCAATATATCCTCACGTTACCCAATATCATCACTCTACCCAATATATTTTTATTTATTGCAATATATTTTTATTTATTGCAATATATTTTATTTATTATTTTTTCTTTCTCTTTTTACATAATTTTATCAGATTCCTAATCAGGTGCTCAACAAACACAGGATATGATATAGGCTTATCAGCCTCATATCATATCTTACCCTTATCAGCCTCATATCATATCTTACCCTTATTCTATTATGTCCACCAAACAAACCCTAAAGGTGTTGTGTGACGGACTTTGTAATGGTTATATTATTCTTTAACAAAAGCTGTAAATTTATTATTCAGAAATAAAATTGATATGCGCCGTTATAAACTTTTGCACAAATAATAATATTATTATCATTTTTATATTATTCATCAATTTATTAATTATTTAACTAATTTGATTTGTGCCGAATAGAGCCATGTAGGGCAAAGTTTTCTCTGCCAAGTTTTATGGGTTAAGTTTGAACAATCAGAATTGATCAAATGTGCTTAATTGGTTGTAATATTATCATTTTTTTTTCTCTTCAAAACCCATCACATAACCGTCATTGAGACTCGCGTGGAATTACATTTTACACATACAAGATGCTTATATGAACAAAACGACTCCATATTACTAATTATAATTATTTAAGTTTTTTTGTAATTAAATTTTATCAGTAATATTAATTGTTTTTTTTTTTAATTTACCTTTAGACGTTTGGTTCAGGAAAATTTTTTGGAATAGTAGAAAAATGAGATAGATAGAGAAATGATTGGAAAGATAGATAAAGTGAGATAGGTAGAAAAATGTAAAAAATAATTGTTTGGTGGGGAAAAACTTTACTGAGAAAATTAGATAACTTTATGAAATCAACAGTGCATTAAAAGCCAGATAATCGGTTTTCCGAAAAATCTCACCTTCAAATTGGGTTTCTAAACAGTGCGGATATCTATGTTTCTCATAAATCCAGACAAATTGGATAGATGGGTTTTTGGTGAAAAACGTTGAAACAAACATAGTGTTTCTAAAAGCCATACTTGAGAAAGATAGATATCCGCTGAAAAGCTTCTAACCAAACACCACCTTAACTTTTCTAGATGTGATGAATGATTAGGAAGTGGTTAACGTTCGCTGGCAGTTGTCCACAGAACAAAGCATAGCTAGGAGGCAGCAAGTACTATTCTTGAGGTCCCTGGTCTGTATGAATATATGGAGTATTGGGACCAACAAATTGTGGAGATATATTTTACACGACACGAAGGTGATGTTTAGTTGGGAGCTTTTCAGTGGATATCTATATTTCTCAAGTATGACTTTTAGAAACACCATGTTTGTTTCAACGTTTTTCACCAAAAACTCATCTATTCAATTTGTCTGGATTTATGAGAAACATAGATATCCGCACTGTTTAGAAACCCAATTTGAAGGTGAGATTTTTCAGAAAACCGGTTATCTGGCTTTTAATGCACTGTTGATTTCATAAAGTTATCTAAATTTTCCCAGTAAAGTTTTTCCCCACTCAACAATTTTTTTTTTACATTTTTCTACCTATCTCACTTTATCTATCTTTCCAATCATTTCTCTATCTATTACATTTCCTTACTATTCCAAAAAAATTTCCTCAACCAAACGACGCGAAGATATTTCTCATATTCTTGTTATTGAACATGAATCGCTAAGGTATAATATAATATAATCAAAATAAATAACTGTAATGCCTTATAATATAATAGAAATAGTATATACAATAATAATAATAATAATAATACAAAGTAAAATATTATTTTCGAAAAATGTCTTAAATGATAAACAAGTTCAAACTTATACCATTTTAGGTGATTCTCAAAACAACGAAATAACTCGAATACTCCTTAAGTTAATGATTAGTGATCCTTTAATACTTAATTAACAATAAGTTTTACATTTAAACAATGTGAAAAAACCATATAATATAAAAAATGGAAAGTACTACATATATAGTACTAGTAGATAAGGAAGAAAGTATGTATATGGGTTAACTGTTAAGTACTTCTCCTTGACATAAAATTATTTCGGAGGTCTCAAAACGGAGCGAATTTTTTTTTATAATTTTAATTTTTTTCAGAATATATTAATTTTTATTACCAAAAATAAATAAATTCCCACAACGAAATAGTTTTAGATATGAGATATGCGTTCTATCATAAAGACTATGTATTATTGAAGATATATATATATATATATATATATGCAAAAAAAAAAAAAAAAATTACACGGGTGTAAAAATAAGAAATTTTACATTAAATCTTGATCATTAATTTGCTAACATCCAATGGCTCACCAACCTAATAAATTTGAACTGTTAGAAATAAATAGGATCAATGACCAATATTAAAAGTGTAATTTACACCAGTACATAAAATGATCATGACTCATATATATATATATATATATATATATATATATATATATATATATATAGGGATATGATCCTTTAACATCGGTGTCAAATTTAAAATTTGATACTTCATCTAGAGCCGTTAGATCAAAAAAGATCAATGGTGTCATATACTTACAAATCAGAGTCGTTGATCTTTTTTGATCTAACGGCTCTCAGATTAGGTGTCAAACTTTAAATTTGACACTGATGTCAAAAGATCTTACCTCGTATATATATATATATATATATATATATATATATATATATATATATCAAACATTTTACTTATTTAATTATTATGATAAATTATATATAAATTTCGTGTGAGTGAAATATGCATTGGAATGTGTATGTTCAAGTCGTGCAACACTCCATACGTGAATTATTCAAAACTCGGCACGAGCATGTTATATGTCATATGTCATGCTCTGCAAGACGTGCATCCTTGCAGTGCCGAGCACTTCCCTATGTGCATCTTGCATGCATGAAACCTATTAGGCGCGCATTGAATTTTGTATAAAGTATGTATGGTCTATGTAGCACCGATACTGACACGGGACACCTGATACGATACGACACAACACTCTGACACGTTAATTCTAAAAAATGTTAGATTTCGACACGTTAGGACACGTCTTGATATTAAATAATATTTTTAATTTATATAGTATATATTATATTTAATATTCAATAATTTAACAAAAAAATGAATCTAAACTTATAATATTCATAAATTTTACAAAGAAACATAAGATGTCCAAAATATTTATATTAAACTCGATAAAATGATAATCATAATTCAACGAATTTAATTGTTGGAACTAAAAACTCAACGCAACGTATCCTTTGAACTTTTTTTGAATTTCTATAACGCGTGTTGGAGTGTCGGGGAGTGTCGGAGTGTCCGAGAGTGTCTTGAAGTGTCGGACACGACACGTCAGGATTTTTGAAGTGTCGGTGCTTCATAGTATGAGGTGATGTGTGACTTGAACACGTATTGTCAGGATATGCGTCTTTTCATACATCAAATTGATAAATAATTTGCTAAAATAATTACGGGTTTCATAAGAGTTATGTTGTAGGAAAAGTGATTGTATAATGTTATAGAGATTCGTTTTGCGTGTCGTAATTCCTTTTTTTTTTCTTCAAAAAGTGTGGGCCCACAAAATGTTGTTTGTGTAAGAAAGTTTGTTGTGTCATGTTAAATGATAAAATGCAAACCCAATAATTAAACCCGTGAAATGTTTGACATTTTATATTGTATGATTCAAGAAGTCATATATTATTCTCCTACATTTAAGATTTCCATGTCCCACAAACTAACGTCAAGAAAAAAATCACTACGAGTTTGACCTTGTGTAAAAAGGTCACAAGCTTTGGTTGTTGTTGAGGTAAACTCTTCATCCCGAAGGTTCGTCATAAACCTCCCATCTTCCATAGCCATGGGGCATGTGTTGTTATCTTCATTGTCACTCATTTCGTCTAGCAAAGTTTCCCACCAATTCGTGGTCCCTGATGAAACTGCACAAACTGATTGAGTAATACCAACTTTGGTACTACTATGATCTAAGGTAATGAATTTCCCTTGCAACCAGGGGGATGTCTTTGAGAAAGTAAGAGGTAGAGGCTTTATCACTTCGTGGGGTCTCGCTATTTCGGCATCTTGCTTTATGCTCTTTCCTTTCTCGTGATAGTTCACTTTCCTCCGCATGTTGGTGTTCCAGTAATTTTTCACATCATTTGGAGTTCTTCCGGGAAGTCTTCCTGCAATTAGAGACCATCTACACATAGACAAACATTTTAACCAAATTAAAGGCTAATATATTGAAGTTTATTGCTTATATAATATCGTCCAGGTAATAAATTTGTAAAAGTTATTTGTCTCTAGTTTTCTTTTAGTCTCTAATAAAGAACTTTACGTCTACAGCATACAAATCAACTTGCTTTTTTGTTAATGAATAGTTTATACATCTTATAATCCAATAACTTAGAAATATAGTGTTAGAGAGATATAATATAGGGAAAATATAGTCTCTTGTTGCTTGAGAAGGAATTATCAAAAGTTGTGCTACCCTTTTTTTTTTACCCTAGTGAGCCCCACGGTTCTTGTCTCTCTGCTAGAGAAAAAAAGTCTCGTGTTACAAGAGAGACCCCTATAATTTGAAATCATTGGAGGCTCATTATTTACAAGTTTAAAGTGTTGAAATGGTTATTTATATAGTATTAGAGCTAAAGCTTGTATGTCATGATATCATGTGAAGAATTATTTCAACTTAAAAACTTAAGTTTGTAGGTGATGAGTCTTCAATAATTTTATATTATATCTCTCTAATGTATGGCATATTTGATTTTGTTTTTCCTCCTTTCACTTACAATAGAGGTGTCCCAACGCAGGTCCGTTTTATTTGTTTAAAGATAAGGGACAACATAAAAATAAAAAAAAAAATTGTTCAAATAGTGTAAGTATAGAGTAAAACGCGACATATATAAGTGACAAAATCAGGTTATAACATTTTGTCTACACAGAAAACAAAGATCAATAACTAATATCTCTTCATTATTCTAATTTTATCGTGCGTAAAACAATATTAAATATAAATGATATTATATTAAACCATTCTATCACAATGATCTTATCCGTTACTTGTCAATTAGCTAATTACATAAAAAAATGTTATGAGACTCAATTTTCTATATATACTATATTGTTATGTTTGTATAATCTTCTTTCTAGTATATATTAAACGCAAGCTCAAAGTTTGTGAAAGTAATCGTTTCCCACCCCATGATCACATTATGTTTCCATTGAGATTTGAATTAGAACATGTAATTAAGCATGTAACTCGCGTTGCCAATAGTGTCAAACCACTTGGCTACAATATTAGCATATTTCTGAGATACATGTATATATATATATATAAACAGACCTGTTTCCCAAAAGCTTATGCAATCTGATCATCAAATCAACCTCATCATGCGCAAATTCTCCCCGGTTGATATCTGGTCTTAGATAGTTCAACCACCTCAATCTACAACTCTTGCGGCATCTGTTCAAGCCTACCAAACGGAACAAGATTTACATGTTATTACAATATTTTGGAGGTCTCAGTTATATCTCTGCCAAAACCAATTAAAAGAATAAAAAACATTATAAAAAAGAAAAAGAAAAAAAAAAAAAAGAACCAGCTCTTTGAGGAACAAGGTGCCATTTTCCCTGCCCATATAGTTGGACGCATGCTCTGAGAAGGTCATCTTCTGATTTACTCCATGCACCTTTCCTCACACCGGATGATCCTTCCATAGCACACGAGTAAACTAGGCTCTATTTGTTGCACATTATCTTTAAAGCAACATAAGTATATATAAACACACTCATATCTGACCAGATCCATGCATGTATCATATACGTGCCCTGATTACTGTCCACAAAATCTAATTCCTTACACTTATCCTCTACACGTACGTTGCCTTTATGGGAAAATGGAAGAGATAAATGAGGGGAAAAAAGTATACTCCTTTTCTTAGAGGCATGAAGCAAAAATGTAGGAACAAGATCTCGCAAAAGTATATATATATTGTCCCATGAAAAATACGGTCTTCCATTAATTGTTAAACGATGCATGCACGACAAAATGAGTTCATCATAGATATATATCGTTATTCATAAGTCTTCATATAAAAAGTTTAAGTTTTGATTATCGTTAAATTTTATTAGATCGTTAATATTTAAAATGATCAATGTTTAAATCGCCAAATGATTATATAAAAATTTAATTATTAGACTTTTTTATAAATATAAAAATTTTAGTATAGAATACAATTGATGAGCCTTTATGTGTGACAGTAGGATTTTTTTATTGTGCTCCAAGTGCATAATAAAAATTGATGGTCCTTTATTAAATAGAAAAAAATTTCTTCTATTTATACCCTTTTTATTTAAATTTCTTCCTAATCTTTTCCCTTTCTATTTTTGGAAAAGGTCCACGGGGCCGACTGATAATAAATGAGCTCGTGACAGTATATGAGATAAAAAAATCATTTGCGTGGCAAGAGTCAAGACTGAGAAGTTATTTGGAACTTTTCTTGAATTGACAATTCTCCATGTGATAGTTGTCTTAAGTGGATCCCACCGATGGTAATCATTGGTATATAGTCATTATTGTAATAATACGGATGCAGTTCAAGATACTATGTTTTTAATGTTGAATATAATTCAAATAATAATTAATATGATTAAAAAAATAGTGTTAATTAATAAAATTTTAAAAAATATTAAAAATATCAACAACTAGATAAGATTTTAATCTTTTTTATTATTTCAGGTTATTTCATACTAGAAATAACAAATCACTAATCTAAATAAAAAGACAGTTGAGATCAGTTGTGTAAGAACTCGTCCGTTAATTAAGGAAGTTAATTAATTAATTATGAGAAATTAGGAAATAATTCCATAATTGACCCTAATAATTATTATAAGGCTTTAATAATTATGGTAAGTAATTAATAATGCTGAAAGTCGCTTTTCTGACGAAAAGCGCAGATACCGGTTCTGTTACTCGGTATAAATGCATACCGATGAAGTATCCCGGAAAATTACGAAAAGTGTGTATATGTCACTAGAATAATATATAGGACTTGTAAAACAAGTTTCAAGTTAAAATAATAAGAACTGGTTCCAGAACTGATACTGGCTATGTAAAAGCGCGTACCGGAAAGGTGCTGCAAAAAATAAAATAAAAATGTGATAAATCTTAGAAAAATGAGTAGGTTCTGATTCCAAAGTTTGGGATTATTTGGCTAAGCGTAGCTATTAGCGCTAATACAGTGCGATTAAGACTTAAGTGACTATATATACTCATCTAACACACAACCCTAGGCCATATTGGCTTCCTACGTGAGTTTTGCTGAAGGGTCAGCTGCTGCCCTCCATTCCTTGGCCTCCCTTGCATGAAAAACTCTCCAAGATACCTCTTTTCTTTGATTTCTTCACCTCTAAACAAGTAAACACTTGGGTGTGAGCATGGGTAAGTGTGAAAAGTGTCATCTTCTGAGTTGAGGGTGTTGTGTGTGTGTTGGGAAGGGGCTGTTTCTGAGTTGTGTGCTTTGGGAGTCTTCCTTTGGTTGTTGAAGCACCAAGAAGCACTCTTTATGAAGAAAGAACCTTGCTTGAGTGGTATTTTCGTGTACCTTTGGAGTCAGCACCTTGGAGCTGACTTGTGAGCTCCAAGAGCACCTTTGGTTTGCTGTTCGGAACCTTGGGTAAGTGTCACCACCTTTGATCATGATTTTCCTAGCTAAAAATGGAGTCTTGACATGTTTAATAAGTTTAACAAGTAACCCACCAGAACATGAGCCTAAAAATAATTAAAGATGCATGCTTGGACGTAGTAATGGGTTAAAAACCCAACCTTTGGAGTGATATCTCGCGAAATGCAGAAACTGCATTCTGTCGCGAAATATTCGGATATTGATATCCGAATACGATATCCAGATATTGATATCCGGATATGGGGTTCTGTGATATCCGGATATGCATATCCGGATATCGTAGCCGGATATGGACCCGACATATATCCGGATATTCTGAGTTTTTGAGAACAGTAAGGGTACTGTTATACAGAACTGAGCTATGGGTTTGTGGACCCTGGATTGATGAAGTTGGACTTCTGTAATGATTAAGTTAAGTCAGAATCAAGGGATTAAGGGCTTGTGGCTTTGTGAGAAGCCTTAAGACTTAGAAACGCAAAGGAAAAGCGTTGTCTTTATATCGTATGCTTGTAGAGTATGAATATTGATATTATTATTGGTCCAAACAAATTGTGATTGTGTTGTGTGTGGACTTTGAGCTTGGTTGGACTATTGGTTTGGATTGTTAGCTTGCAAGATAAGCTTTCGTGTCCTCGGTTTAGCCATTGTTGGTTCCACCATGTCCCATGGGGGATGGTTTATATGGATGATGTGTTTTCATGTATTGTTTTATTGAAATGCGATTGAGCTGTTAAGTGCATATTTCTTATGATATGTATGTGGTGTTCGCCTAGACGGGCTATAATCCTGTGGGCAGGTACATCATGGGCGCGTACTGTGTGGGTAATAGATGTATTCCTGCACTTCTCTGATCAGTAGAATAGTTATAACACACATGACATGATTATCTGCTGCATTGCACTGATTTTGGAACTGATATTGAATTACTTCTTTTAGAACTTATATTGCACATGTAAGTGAGCTTGGGGTGGAAGATCATTGAGGACCCCTTGTCTTACTGAGATTTCTGTTTAGAGATCTCTCCCCACGTTTGGGGCACATATTTCAGGTTCAGGTAATGCGGGGGTTGAGACCTCTAGCGGCAGGAGGCCGGAGCTTAGCTGATATTGTTGTTTATATGATGATATGTTTGGATGCTGGATTATATCTGCTGATGATATGCCTTTAGCTTGTTATTATTGTGTTGTTGTTGTTGAGACTATGTTTGGCTTTGTTGCCTTATTTGGTGAGCATGAGGATTGTCCATGCCACATTGATTGACTGTCTTTTAGTTTAGATCTGAGATGTAATAATGTATCAGGATTATGTCCGGGCTACGTGTTGTAGTTCCGTGATTTTAGAGACTCGCAGTTAATTATATATTAAGGTATTTCAGTTAGCTGTCTTTTGCAATTTACATACAGACGATGTTTTTATGAAATAAATTAAGTAATTCAACTTGGCTAATGATAATGACGTCATAATTGAAAAGAAAAAGATATTCCGCATTTTTAAATTAAGCGTGGCTTAATACGATGATATGATAACAAACTGGATATATACGAGGTGTTACAAGTTGCAAAGGATAGAGATCAAGAAAAATAAAGAATTAATCAAAATTAATCCTCAGCGAGCCTGGTCTAAATTAAAAAGCGCATTTTTATTTATATAAAAACGAATGTTAGGGCTTATTTTATTATTGGGAAGACGAGGAAAAGGAGCGCATTCAGAAGGCAGAGGAGCGGAGGAACGGTCAAAGCTTCCTCGTTTGGATCTTGAATGTGATTATAAGAATAGGTAAACTAGTTTGGAAACCTTTGGGGAAGATAAGTTCTAGCTACATCTTTTATAAAAACTTAAAACCAATTTCTAGCATTTATTAATTCTAAATTTAATTTCTTGAATATTGAAAACTAAAAATAAGTAGTTAAAATTCTGTTTTTAATTTAATTAAAATATTCTCCAAGAAACTTGTAACACCCCATGTATACCCGGTTTGTTATCATGTCATCATATTACGCTTAATTAAAAATGTAGAATAAACTTTTTCTTTTCAATTATGACGTCATTAATATTAACCAAGTTGATTACTTAATCTTTTTCCAAAACATTGCCTGTATGTAAATTGCAATAAAAGCTAAATACACTGAATAACTTCATATATAAATAAGTGAGTATCTAAATGACGAAACTACAACATGTAGCCCGGACCATAATCCTGATACATTATACAATTCAAATCTAAAACAATAAAGTAAAGTCAATGTGGCATGGACAAACCTCATGCTCCCCAAATAAGGCAACAAAGCCCAACAGAGTCTCACATCAAATAACATGATAATATATGTAAAGCATGTCAGAATCAAGCACGTCATCATAAAAGCATAAATCTCAACTCAGCTCCGGCCTCCTGCCGCCCGAGGTATCAACCCCCCGAGTTACCTGAACCTAAAAGTGTGCCCCAAACGTGGGGTGAGATCTCTAAACAGAAATCTCAGTAAGGAAAGGGGTCCTCAAGGATCTCTCCACCCCAAGCTCACTTACATGTGCAATATAAGTTCTAAAACAGTAAAACAGTATAAGTTCCAAAATCGGTGCAATACAGCAGAATAATCATGTCATGTGTGTCAATTATTCTACTGGCTAGAGAAATGCAAGATTTACATACGTCTATTACCTACAATCAGTGCAAGTCACTACTTGCACCCACCCACAAAATCACCCTATTGTATGTCTCTTACAAACTCAGGCTTACCGTCTAGGTGGAACAACACATGCATATCATAAGGCACTTGCACATAAAAGCTCAACAACACTTCAAATATCAATACATGAAAACACATCATGCATATAAACCATTCCTCCATGGGGTATGGTGGAACCAACAATGGCTAAACCGAGGACACGAAAGCTTACCTCTTAAGCAATCAATCCAAGCCAAATCCACACAAGCTCAATGTCACCAATCAGCACAATCATAGTCTGTTTATACAACAATTAATTATCAATAATCATTGCCCAAGGTTTCATTAAGTGATTAAGGCTTTCCTACTC